GCTGTTCTCAGCTCACACAGGATGTCTCTGGGAAAGGCAGAAATTGAACCCAGATATGTTGTTTGAGTCCTACTGAGTTTCGAGACAGTCTTTTCTCAAAACAGAAGAAAATGCATTTATTTGATATACTCATCTCAATGCTTTTCCTGTGGATATTATTTGGAACATCTGGGGTTTTAAAAATTTAAATTCGTCTTTCTTTTCTTGCTTTTCATTTCATAGTTAGCACTAATATTTAATGTGAGATAGAATGGAATTTACAGCTTCACTGTGTGAAGGATTGAATTAGAATAAAATTTAATAATAGTTTGAACATAATTAAACAATTTTTTCAAAGAGATCACATTTTTAGATAATTTTATTGTCATTGCTCTGTAAAATATTTAAATCTGTTTCCATCTCTTTTTCATAAATTGATGCATATGCAAAAATAGATGATATTTCAGATGTGCTTAAAAGGAAAAATATTTTTCCTGCCTACTTTATTAAAAGCAGATAATGACTTAGACTGTAGGTTTTAATTAATTTTTTTCTAAAGTATTCAGAAGTTGATAATTTTTAATGTACCATACAAATCTTGAAAATGAAATGTCTGATCCTGGTGATATGTGGTGGATCTTCCTATGGTCTCATCTGGGAGAGAAGTTGTTTGCTTTTGTATTGGGGGATTTCGTCAGCAATGTGGGTGCAAAACCATTTTTACTGATTTAAATTTCTCCTAAGATCTGTTTTTGACCAGAACACATGAAGAAACTACCTGTCTAAATCCTAGTCATTTGGGAACCACAACAATTTACATTGTAACTAGAAAAATTATCTCAGGTAGCCATGGAAAGTTGAAGACGCTGGGCTATGTTAGTTTTTAATATCTGCAGGCTGTTTCAGAGGCAGTGGGTGCTCCTGGACACAGATGCAGAGCCTTTGACATTATGGCAGCTTGGCTTTGTTAACAGGTTAACATTCACTATGTAGAATGGATTTAAACAATCTGCTGAATTCTTAATATGAGGACTAGATTTACTGGGGGTATTTTTCCCCATATTTTAGTGAAGTTGCAAGCTGGTGTAATATTGTCTGTGGCTGTAAGCAACAGCAATAAAAACTGACCCAAACATTAGTTTTTTCCTAACATCTCTAAGAGAAGAGTGCAGGTGGAAGACAGGTTTGGCACAATGTTCAGGAGCTCGTCTGTAGCCTTGGCTTAGACTTAACTGTTCTATTTTTTGAAGCTCTCTGGAGGATCTACCTGGACTGTCTCCATGTGGAACAAGTAGAACCACTTTGAAGAGAAGGTGAATGAGCATCAACTGACAAATTGGTGTCATCACAAGTAGTACTGGCAGAAAGATCTTGCAGATTTACATCCTGCAGTGTTTTATCTTGAACTGAAACCTAAGGAAACAATTGGACTGGCTGGCAAGCCATCCATGTTTGTGAGTGTGATTCTTAAACAAACCCAATTTATATTATACCATATTCAGCCTGCCTTTGGAAAATTAACTGTGATATGAAGGGCACCTTGGAATGCATCTGTCTTAGGATTCTACTGTAAAAATGTTTCAGAGATTACAATTGTCTAGGCATATGGAATAGTAATTGCTTGCAAATACGTTTTATGCTTTTTAGCTTGGCTTTGTCAGCTGCAACGGCTGGCTGTGCCTGTTTGGTCAAGGGATGTATTATAGAAACAGACAGACTGTTAAATGAAAAAATGAGGATGAAAACAAGAGGCCTAAATACAGAATATACTTTTTTAGTAGTGACTATGGAAATGCTGTACCTGGATTTTTTAGTAACGCTCATACTGATTTAGGATTTATTCAAGTGCTATAGGGATTCGTGTTACTTTCTGCCTTCTTTTCTCTGTGCAACAGTCTCTGAATATACCATGAACTGCACGAGGAGTGGCTAAAAAAGGAGTTTGTAATTGTGTACTCACAGTATACTTATGTTCAGCTCTTAGTTATGTGACCAAGGTTTTGTTTTTTCTTTTGCTTTGGTTTTGTTTAGTTGTTTTTTTGTTGTTGTTTCTTGTTTTGTGAGTTTCAATAGTTCATTGAAGGTTAAGCCTTGAAATTTTGCTAGCTTTAATTCTGATGTAGCCATGCTGTTCACTGTGTCAAATCACAGATCACTTTAACCATTGGTGCCAGCTTGGTGAGGACCAGAGAAACCACAGAAACATCACAACCAACACAAATTAATCAATTTTATTTGCTTATCTCTTTTCATCTGATAATTAAAATTGAGTCTTTCGTTCAGCAGAAAACCTATGCACAAAGGACATTGATTTGTTTTGATAGGCTTATTGAAAGACAAATGAGCTTTTGAATTACTAGTAACTAAGGAATGAGAATGATGATAAAATACTGTGAAGTGCTTCAGAAAACTAAGTTCTGAGGAAGTCCGTGGCTGAAGTTCAACATCTATTCATCTTTTTTAAAATTTTTCATCTAATCTAAACTGTTTTAATTATTTTTCACTTCCACTATGCCTGAAAGGGTAGGGGTGGTTCCTAAAGCACAAGGTGTTCTTCAGTGGGTGGCATGGGCAGCACTGAACAGGACTTAATAATTAATTAAACACATCTGTTTCCAGTCAAACAAGCTCAAATCAGTTTGCATCAAATAGCGTGGATCACACAGCATTTTTATTATTATGCTTGTAAAGTGAATGGGTGCATTCAATAATGGGAGAAGTGCCCTTTATGATTGAAGATGTGATTTTTTTTCCTGTTACTAGGTTTGCAGATGAAAACCTTAACGTTTTAGGTGTGACAAGAACAATTGAATTACTAACACAAAATAGGCTTATTTTGAATATGGATTTATTGTGAAAGCATGAGTATAGAGCTAATTCAACAATAGGAAATCTGCAGTTCTTTGAAACTCAGATCTACTCCAAGAAACTAGATTATGAAAAAACTGTTGCAAACGATTTTTGAACTGGGCTTTGTTCACATGTCAACACATTTTATCTTCAATACTCTTAAAGGAAGAGAAAATTTCTATGAATATCTCTGGCACTTGGCAGTGGAGCAAACTTAAAATGTAACTGACAAACCATAGAACAGAACTAGTTCCTTCCTGAAAATTGTTCTTTTCTCTCACTTAAATATTATTTTGTGGAGAAAAAATTAGAACTTAGGTATTCTTTTGATTGTCAGGGGAAAGAGACTTAAAGGAGATAAGCCCTTCTGAACATAAAAATCCGTACTTCCTTGATACATCAAGTATATATATAAACTTGCCATATAACTAAGTATTAAAAATGAAGAAGAGTCAGACCTTGACCCTGATGTCTAATGTGTCACCTTATATGTATGAGATGTGTCCCCAAGCAAAGTAAATAACATTCTGAACTGTGACTGAGCTAGGAGATAAATTAATAGACCATATATTTTGGACTGTCCTCTATGGCCTCTAAGCCTTCTAGGACAAAATCTGATATTGATCATTGACTGTCTGCAAAATTAACTTTCATAATAATCTTTCCTCTGCTTTCTGTCCAAAAATGATACAGAGTCTGAGGTATACAAAAATTTGAGCCAAAGAAAGAATTCCAGCTGAGGTCAATAATAGTATTGGTTTATATAAGGAGGTTTCATATTAGAATTTAGTGTCCCTGACACCAGACCTTTGGATTAATGGAAAGGTAAAGTTCCTCATGTAGACCCAGTACTTGCTTTTTACATTAATGCTATTTAAGGTTTATGTAATTCTTGAGATGATAATTATAACAAATATTTAATAATGAATAACTGTGCTGCTTTACTGAGGAATATAATATGAAGCATTGCTTATGCAGGGAAGAGCAGGAATATTGTACAGGAAAGAATGGAATAACCTTTAGAACTGGAGCACTTGGGTGAAATTTGCATTTAAGATGAGGAAATGTCTGATTGCAGTGATGTGTTTTCCCTTTGAAGACAAGTGAAGGGAGCTGCCTGATGGTCTTAGTCGATGACAGTGAGCCAGCAGCATGATTTGGCTCTTGTTAAGAGAAGCATTTCTTCTGTGTTAGCTAGGAAGCTGTTTCCAGAACAAGCAAAAGTATTGATGCTCTTGCAAAAGGCAGTGCTAAACTTTGGAGTCCCAGGTGCAAAAATGAACATGTGTCTGGAGGGAAGGGCTTGTCCTCCCAAAGGAAATGGGGCAAGTACAGCTAATTTTTCCAGGAGGTGAAACTTGAAGAGTTAGTAGATGTGTTCTATAAATGCATTATGGATGTAAATTCAACATAGAAAAGGGAAGACGTTTAACCTGAAAGTCAGTGATAACATAAGAAACTATGAAATAGCTGTAGGTAAATTCAAGATAGAAATTAAAGGCATGCAAGCCTCAGACAGCATTTTTTCTACATCACTGAGCTTAATCTTGTCTTTTTCTATTACAAATTCTGTTTTAAAAACAGGCACCTGCTTTCTAACTCCTGTTAGAGAGCTTTCAGCACCCAAATGAATTGGACTCTGAAACTGCTGTCCACAAAATGAAGTGTGGGTAAAAGGCCCAGCTCTTTTACAAAGGCACTTGTGTCCACAAATAGGATTGTGTGATGTGGTTAGCTCTGACCACACAGAGCTTCTTCATAACCTGCTGATCTTTACGAGTGCTGTGCCCTTTCCTATTTCTGTTACTCCCTTAAATTCCAACGTAGCTGATGTTTTCCCTGAATAGGTTATTCTTTTAAGTCTGTTTTCAAAAATTCCTGATAATGAATGATGGCCACATTCCTTTTTTATGTTTATCCCTTTGCTCGAATGTGGCAACAGTGAATTAGCATAAATGGTCGGAGGAAAGTAGTTAATATAGATTAATTTGTATTCTTCTTTATTCCTTTGAATTTACCTCCTTGAAGATACATCAAAGATGAGTTTGGTTCATAAATATGTTCAGAAGATGAATACAGTAGGGGGAAAGAATCCTGTTTTATGGTATTTTTAAAACCAGAAATAAATCCTTTATAATCAGTAATTGACCTATATGATTTTTTTTTTCCAGTTTGTTTCAGATCCTTGTGCCAGCAACCCCTGTCACCATGGTAACTGCAGCAGCAGTGGGGATGGCTACCTCTGTCTGTGCAGTGAAGGCTTCGAGGGGACAAACTGTGAGCGCTCCCTGCCCAGCCCTGCAGCCTCCCAGGGGACAGAGGCCACCTCAGCCCGGCACAGCAGCCCAGCCTCGTCCACCCTGGAGCCTGACATTGCTCTGCCCCGCTCCAGAGCCACTGTCACGTTACCCACGTGGCAGCCAAAGGCGGGACAGAGGGTTGTGGATCTCAAATGGGATGAAATAGAGGTGAGAGAATTCTGTCAAAGTGAAAATTCACTGACAAAAAAAGCTTTTAAGTGTTTCTTTTGGGTTGTCATTTTTGCATGGTTTCATGATGTCCTCGTGAGAAGACTGAAGATGTGATCTCTGCCCTGAGTTAATATGCTGGTAAAATTAAAACAAAAACCCATCCGTGTTACAAGTAATGGACTCGAGTTGGCTAGTGTGTTGTATTAGATATTTCTTCAGAATGGGATAATATTGCTTCTTCCAGTCAATTGTGTGACACCGTATCTCCAAAAATCAAATAAATATAGGAAATTCTAAAAGTTAAAGCAATACCTTCAATATATTTTTTGGTATTTGCCATTATAATCACATTTTGCTTCATGTTCCTGCATTATTAAGAAAACACAGTTACTTGAGGATTAAAAGTGGTAGTTAATACATTACACAGGGCACAACTCTAGGGATGCAATGACAGTGCTGGAAACTTCTAAATGTTTAAATTTTAAACATTTGTTGTAACTCTTATGAACAAATCTCTGTCAAAACAATATCTGGTAAAATTACAGCTGGAAAGCACACAACATGGGATCCTTAAGAAATGTGATCTTTGCTTTCCACTGTGTTGTATTCTACCCTATTTGTAATGCTTAAATGTTTTGCATGGACTCAAGTATCTGCAAAAATTAAAAAACCCCTATCGAACTTAACCAAGTTATTGTTAAAATAATAATCAGCTTTATACTAAGCACTAGAATAATGAAACTTGTTGCTGAAAAAATATTTTAATTTCTAACCTTAGGCAAAGAATTAGAGTTTTTGTGACATCTTCTTCTTATTGAGAAAGCCTTGTAATATAATTTTATTTCAGTTTTTTCAGGAATAAATAGGTAAGATGTCAGTTGTATATTTTTTTTAAACGTTTCAATGAGTTTGATTCTCCTGAGGTGTTTTAACATTCTACATAATGAGAAAGTGAGCAGGCAGGAGTTTAATCCTGGAACAAGTGTATTTTTCATCACTCTTCGCTAGCCCAAAAAATTTGTTGATGTTTCTATTCTAAAATTTATTTAATCAATTTTCTGAAAGTGCAATCAGCCTATGTAAAATATATGTTTGTGTTTCGACTCTCTGATTTTAGCTGAGGTGCAAGTATTTATAGGGCTGTAGTCCATTTCAGTGGGAGTGCTGGTGGGCAATGTCTGGAGCATAAAGCTTTATTCCCTGGAATTCCATCTCCCATATCTATTATTTTACAATAGAACATATGTCAGGCACCAAGGATGGAGTTTGGAGAGAGCACTGAAGCAGAAACAAACAAGGATCTTCTTTTATTACTTAGTTTAAATGCAGTGTCATCTCTGCATGGGTGGTCCATATGTCCTGATCAATTAAGGGCATGCTCTTCCCTGTACCAGATTTCCCTGGTGTGTCTTCTTCAATCTGTGGTGTGGTGTTGTATAAGGAACATTTCTGCCTGGTTTGCATTTTAGGTAGATTCAGTAAGAATTTCAGTCAAACAAATAAGTCACAAGTGGGTATTTCAATAGCTGAAATTCACCCTTCTGCATGTCATCTGTTACCTGAGAAATACAGATAGGTTATCAATTGCTATTGCATGACTAACACTAGCATGGAAAGTACTTGCTATCCTCTTACAAAATTGCTTGTGTTGATATGTTTTTAATATACTGTGATGGGTCTTGTATTTTTGACAAGCTCTCCAGTGTGGCATAATGACCTTCTACCTTGTTCTTTGAAAGTCACAGTGAGAGATGATTATCTGAAACAAAGAGACTTCAGTTGCTGATTCAAGACATTGTATCTGATCTGTATTAACTCAGCTTCATTTGCCTGAAGGTCTGTGTTCTAAAGCCTCTTTGGTGGAGGCTTCAAAAGTGAAATGTGTTAATAACAAAAACACTACCTTTCCTCATAGCTGTAAGAACTTTGAGAAACTTGATCCTGCTTTGCTCTCTTAAAAGGAAGAGGATAAAGCAGCTGTAGGTTTTATATTGTAAAAATGCACTCTTTTGATCTTTGCTGAGATTCAGAGGACAACAAATACCGATATTATGTTTTCTTTTTTTTTTTTTTTTTTTTTTTTTTTTAATAAATCTTCCAAGACAGTCTGTTTTCCAAATTATTCTATACTGATACTGGAAGTGATGTAATGTTTTTGGACCCTTTTGTCTCAGAGAGAAATTTTGCCAGACTCTTTCCAAGTAAAAGCTTTCACTCTCTTGCAAGGATGAGGTTTCCACGAAAGCTTTTCTGGGAAGTTTTGGGAACACAAAGAATGAACACCTGAGGGAAGTAAGCTGTCTAGGAGAGGTATGATGTGTACTCACAGTTGGATGGGTTTTGTGTATATCTTGGGTACCAGAGATACATAGCACTGCTTGCTGGAATGAACTGTCTCTGCAGTGTCTGGACCAGTAGGTAACATACAGATGTTTTTAGATGCAGTTTCATTTCTTAGAGTGGTCTTCATATAAGAAATTAATCTTTTATTGATATCAGATTAAGGAATAAAACCATAGATCATGAGCAAGAATATTTTCTCTCAGTTGATTGTCTTTAGTATAATGGGAATTTCTTTGTGCTCATCCATTGAAAGATAATTCTTTTTCCTATTTAGGGCAAGCGGTTCCCCTTGCAAGAGAGATCCAACTAACAAACCACGTTTCCCCAGTTCAATCACCTTTTGTATTACAGGATATAAGAGATATTGATTAGCCAGTAATGGAGGGGAAAAAGGAACCATCTCATTAATCCTACTCAATTAATGAATTTAACAAAGGCTGCAGTGTACAAAATCAACCGTAAGAATAGCAGTACCATACTCTTATATACAGCTTTTAATAATAGACCTGAAATTCTTTTCAAAGGAAATCAGCTGTATTATTCCCATTTTACAGACTGAGATGCTGAAGCACAGAGCAGTGAAGTGATTTGCCAGGTGCACAGCCAGAAATTAGAATGCTGAGCATGTGAGTCCTAGTCTAACCTTCTATTTATACTGCAATTTTGTGCTCAGATTCAAGGGTTTGGAACTAATGATTAGAGGCTACAATAAACTTCTAATTCCCCTTGCAGTGGGGACAGCATTTGTTTTACGTGTGTCCTTAGTCAGTAAATTGCAAGCCTTTACAAGGAGTGTGGCTGAATCAGGTGTAAAATCCTAGAAGAGTGTTCCTGCTCTGCAGCAATGGCAGAATTATTCCTTAAGCATATTCTTGAAACGGAAACATTTAAGTCTTGACTTAAAGTGTTGCTAAATGTTTGTGCATTTTTATGTGAAAGTATGGCATGGGTGCAGAAGGAGGAACAGAACAGAATCTGAACAAGAGCAGAGGAGAGATCCTTTTGAGATTTCCTAAGATGTCATTTCTAAGGATCAAGTTTCTATTCTGTATTTAGCAAATCTTTGACATGAAAATGGGTGAAGGTTAGAGTATATATGCTTGCTTTTTTCTTACCCTGTTTTCTTGGCATTCCCTCTTAGAACTGCTGTCAAAGTGCTGGAATGTGTGTCATTTTGGTTTGACTTAGGACAGCTCTTCTAACTGTATATAAGATTTGTTTTGGAAATCTACAATTTTTCTTTTGCTCTGACAAAAAGATATTCTAGTAACACATAAGGAGAATGAAGGAAACACAGATTTTGGTAGAATAGAATTAACTTTCTTCTAGGATAAATCTGTAACTTCACCTACTCTCTCCTCTACAATATTAGTTTATGGAACTGTTTATTTATATACAAACACCATTTTCATAGACAACTTGATGTAAGCATTTCTGGATAGGTGCTGCTCTTTATTAGATTTATTTTCTAAATAAAACCCTAAATGTCTCTAAAAGCTCAATATGCTTAAACAAAACTTATGTGAAATTCATACAAACCTCAGTTTATTACATTGCATTATTAAATCATGTTTAATAGATAGTCATAAATACTAGGTTCCTAAAAGCAAAGCTCTTTAAGACAGAAATTCTAGTGAGTACAATTACATCACCATATTGAAGGTCTTCTCTTCTGAAGCTACATTGGTGAGTGGGCTCAGGATTTTTTGTTATCCAGAGCTGTTTTTGAAAAGTATCTGGATTCATTTAAATACTTCTTCAGGAATCATCCTGTTTTTAAGTCCTTGAGAGTATGAGGGAATAAGAGGAGAAAAAAAAAAGCCTACTGTGTTTACTGCCTTTCAGTGTTTTGGTGTAGAAATATCTATAGCTGACTTGACAGTCTTAGGTTGAAGTTTATGTCCCAGCTTATCCTCCAGTGACCTGAGCTCATACACTGCATGCAAAGATTTGACTGTGGAATTTTTGCTCAATGAATTTGTTTAGGTAGTGTTTACCTTTCTTGTGAGAAAAGCTCCATACACTCTGGAATATAAATGACTATTAATTGTTCACAGAAGTAATCTTTATTGAATGACTGGACTGTGATCAAAGCAGAGGATAGGCAGCTAAGCCCCACACAGCCACTTGCTCACTGCACTATCCAGTGAGATGGGGGAGAGAATTGGAAGGATAAAAGTGGGAAAACTCATGGGGAGATGAAGACAGTTCAGTAATTTAATAAAGTAGAAATAGAAAACAACAAAGGAAAAACCTGAACAAAACAAGTAATGTAAAAAGCCCCAATTACTCACCACCAAGTAACTGATGCCCAGCCAGTCTCTGAGCAACAGCAGCTCTGGAAAACTTCCACCCCCCAGCCCCATTTTTATTGCTGAGCATGAGCTGCTGTGGTGTGGGATGTCCCTTTGGTCAGATGGGATCAGCTGTCCCCGTGTGCTCCCTCAGCACCCCCAGCCTGCTTGCTGATGGGGCACTAAGAAAGAGAAAAGGCCTCAATGCTGTGTGAGCACTTCAGTGATAACAAATATCCCTGTTATCTATCCTGTCTTCATCACAAGTCCAAAACAGCACCATGCAAGCTATTGTGAAGAAAATTAACTCCATCCCAGCCAAAACCAGTACAGACTGACTGAATGTAAGATTTTATGAAG